AGGATTCAATGGTGGTAGGAGAGTCGGGTATGGATATAGTTCCTGTCCTCATGAAACTAAAAAACACAAAGGACAAATTATAAACTGAAATGTACAACCAACTGTTTGATGCCCCAGAAGGAAATAAGTGTGATGTGAAATGTGAAAGAGGTCTATAAATAGTGTTCAGGGAAGGTCTCTCCAAAAACATTTAAACTAAAACTTAACTGTTGAAAAGAGGGGTAGGAACTTTCCAGAAGAACAGAGGATGAACAGAGACTTTAAGGTAGGAAAGAGATGGGAGCATTTTGAGAGTGTAAGGGAAGGTCAGTGTGAACAGAACACAGAGACTGGGGAAGAATGTAGTCCCCATTGTAGCTGGAGAAAAAGCTCAGGGAGAAAGGACAGAGCCACGTAGGTCATGTTAAATGATAACAAGTCTAAGGTTATCTCAAGGCCTTTGGTTGAAGCCCCACCCCAGAAAGGGGGCGATCTGACGGACATGGTCACATAGTCCTGTTGCTATGTGGAGACTGGAGTGAGGCACCACACAGCAAAGGCTGCTGCATAACATGAAGTAAGAGAAAAAGGCATCCTGGATGAGCATGCTGGCAGCAAAGGCAAATTCCAGATGAACAAAGGCAACTCTCAAGTCTCCTTGCTAACACTGGCCATGTAAGCATGCCTTTGAGCTTCAGTTTCCAGGTCAGCAGAATGGAGAAAATATTAGCATGCCTGTCTCAGTCTGTGAAGATTAAAGGAGATAATATAAAGGCACTGGGAACAGTATCTACTGAATAACTGTTCGTTTTATTACTACTACAAAAGAAATAAAACTGATCTTCTTTACATTGTTCTATAATTCACAACAGAAGTACCCAGAACCAAAGATAATTAACTACAAGGAATGTAAAACTCATCAGTAACAAGAATAAGTATCTAAAGATAGCTAGGGAATATAGTATTTAATGAGAAACAATCTAAAAAAATACACTTAAAAAAAAAAAAAGAAAACCACCCCACTAATTTATTATGTTACTATTACCTTAAGGAAGAATCTTTTATCAGTTCTTGCTGGATTGTAAGAAGCAAGGTATGCAGCAATTAGAATAAACTT